CCACTTCATACCTTCAATATCATTGATGTCCGATTCTTTTTAAAACTTATCTCAGTTTTTCCTATTATCATCTAGGAGGTATAACAATTGTATACTTGGGAAAGCTAACCAGAGTAATAGTAGTGCTGGAATTACCGTTCAGACGGTTTCTAATAGTTGAGCCTCTACGATAGTCCGTGTAGTTAATTTAGTAGTAAGTAATCTCACACCTATGATACAAACGAAGGTAAAAATTCCAATAAGTAATGTTAAAGCGTGGTCATGAAATAAAATTATCTCCTCCTGAATAGGTGATGCCTGGATCTATTAAATTATTTGTCCTCAAAATCTCAATCTAACAAAGGTTAATCGACCATCAAAGCATCTTCAATGCATTGCTTTTATTTAAGCTATATGTTAATTGTTCACACGTTTTTACTAATAATTATATTATCTATAACTTGACAAGTTATTATTTTGATTAATTAAACTAAGTAAAATGACTAAATGATAGGACAAATTATGATAATAATACACATAGATACTGGTAGATAGCACTTTCAACACAAGCTTATCAATAGGTCATAACGCAGTCGAGGATAGGCTCCTCGTGAAAATAGAAATAGTAAAGAAATGGCAGTAAACTGAAACCTCGCTAGAAATGATACTCTTTGGGTGTTGGGAAAGATAACTCTCCTTGCAAGAACAGATATGAATAAAATGTTCGAATATTCTGCCAAGAATAAAAGAACAAATCTGCCTCCACCATATTCAATATTAAATCCAGACACTAATTCTGACTCACCCTCTGCAAAATCAAAAGGTGCTCGATTAGTTTCAGCTATTATACTACTCATAAAAATTATCAATAATGGGAAGAACAGGAATAAGTACCCAAAACCAGAATTAATCTCTTCAATCCTTAGTCTAGACGATAAAAAAGCTACAAAGAACACAATAAAAACAAAACTCACTTCATAAGAGATAGTTTGTGCCATTGCCCGCATGGCTCCCAAAAAAGCGTATTTTCTATTGGAAGCCCATCCGGACATTATAATACCAAATACATTAAATGAGGATAATACTAAGAAAATAATCATGGACAAGTTTAATGTTCTTGTGCCGCTGGGTATAGGATACATTATTCAAAACATCATTGCCAAACTAAAAGCCACTATAGGTCTTACCCAGTACATTATGTAGTTAGCTTTATATGGTGACAACAGTTCTTTAGTAAAAAGCTTCACTGCATCAGAAATAGGTTGCAATAGTCCTATCACGCCAATTATTTTAGGTCCTTTTCGAATCTGAATGTATCTTAATACTTTTCGTTCAAGTAGCGTATAAAAAGCTACTCCTAATAAAATACATAAGCATGTTAATAAATTAGATAATATTAAGAGGGTCATTTAAAATATTTTATAATTATATGCGATCGTTTAGAAATAATTAAATTAATTTTTCTCCCTATATCTAACCAACCATTATCTAAATAGCCTAGATTTTTATGTAATATGAATAAGATATAAGGAGATTTATAATACAGTGGGCTTAAATAAAACAAGCTACTTAACAGCATAGTGTTTTTTTTTCCCGCTTTAAATACATATATAAATAAACATAAAGATAACAGTGCTGACAGATTAATATATAGTCATCCATATACTGGTAACACACTAGGTTCTAAATCCGAAAAATCAAATGATCTGTAAAATTTTCCTAAAAGAACAGAACATAAACCAAGTATGATCATAGGTAAATAAATCTTTTTTGATGTGTTTACAGAACCGATGATTAAACCGCTCTTACTTCAACTAATACAGTATAGCATACGTAGAGTATAAATAAAGGTAAAAACTGTTGCGATAGCCATTAACCATAAGGATAACATATTAATGTTAGTAGTAAATATTTTCTCTATAACAGAATGTTTAGAATAATATGCACTTAAAAATGGAATGCCCAATAATGAAAGTCCACTTACATTAATAATTACCCCCGTCAGTGGACTTAATATCCCTACACCGCCAAGAAGGCGTAAATCTTGACACCCAAAAGAAATTATCAAAATATTTCCAGCCGCCATGAAGAGTATAGCCTTAAATAAAGCATGTATATATAAGTGAAACAAAGCCAATAACGGGTATCCCATTCCAACAGTAAACATTATCACACCTAGTTGACTCAATGTTGATAAGGCAATGATTTTTTTAAGATCATTTTCAAATACAGCAGCTGATCTTCCTAAGATAGATGTTACTGCTCCTAAGAATACTAAAATGGAACCTGTGAACTCTCTAAAGTCAGAAATAATTATGATACGAATTATCAAATAAATACCAGCGGTTACTAGTGTCCTGGAGTGAACTAGAGCTCTAACAGGAGTTGGTGCTGCTATCGCAGCGGGAAGTCACGATCTAAATGGATATTGAGCTCTCTTTGTAAGTCTAGCGAGTAATAATAAAAACAAACAGGTTGTACTTATTACTGATAATATATATGTACCATTTTGTAAAAATCTGAATACACTCAGTATAATTAATACATCCCCAACCCGATTAGTAAGTAGTGTTTTAAACCCAGCCTGTTTTGATTCAAAAGACCTGTAATAAATAATAAGTGCAAACGACGTGATTCCTAACCCATCTCACCCTATTAATATGGTTAAGAAAGATGAGGACACAATTAATAAACATATTGAAATTACAAAGGTAAGAAGAATAATAAAAAATCGAGCTTGAAATACATCTTCTTTTATATAGACATCTCCGAATATAAAAACACACCCCGAAATTAGAAATACTAATGATAAAAAACTTATGGATACTCAATCTAAAACATATGCAAGTTCAAACTGAGTAGTACAGAACGTAGCTAGATTAATTTGTAAAAAGACTGTTGTGTTAAAGTAATTTGTTAGAAGAAATAATATAAAAAAAACTAAGCTCCTACAAAACAATAAAATAGAAAATTTATTATTAGATTTAATTATATACATTCAAGTTCTTTGTAGATTTTAATATATTATAACTAGCGATTATTACAATGAACAAATATATAATAAGTATTACTAATAGATATAGAGGAAAATAAATATTTATCGTCATTAAACTTCCAATTGATGTATTTCAGTCTGCTGATAACATAATGATACAAATAAAGGTACAGATTCATTTTATATTCCATATAACGAGCAAATTAGATGTTATTATAACTGTATACATTATCAATACCATAATACCACCGACAAAAACGATTATTATCAATAAAAATGCTAAATTCACCCTTTCCAAGACGGATAGACCACATAAAACACAAGTGTAAAAAATAATGATTAATAAATTTATATGGTTTTTATGATTTAGAAGCAAGTATAAATTACCTATTATAATAAAGGATATGAATATTTTCAAAAATAGTGTTCACTACTCTTTAACTTCCAAAGTTAATATTAACCATAACTGTTTTTGAACATATTTAATTAAGATACACGTTTATAAAGGAGAAACACTAGTCTCTAGATTACTATGAAAATCTGGAGGAAGTGCGTAATCTCATTCTCGAGATCTATGTGAACTTTCAGAAAATAAGTAACTCCGCTGTGACGTTAGAGCTTCTCATACTAAGAAAATGAACATTAATACTGCAATAATTCTGAATAGGGATCCAAATGATGAGATTTGATTTCACTTATAATATGTATCAGGATAATCAACATACCGTCGTGGTATTCCAGCCAAGCCTAAAAAATGCTGTGGAAAAAATGTTATATTCACAGCAAAGAACATAATAAAGAAATGAATTTTGGATCAAGATTCATGTATAGTTAATCCAGTAATTACTGGAAATCAGTAAACAAACCCAGCAAATAAAGCGAAGACTGCTCCTATTGATAATACATAGTGAAAATGAGCTACCACATAATATGTATCATGTAATATAATATCTAGAGATGAATTTGAAAGTACAATTCCGGTCAAACCTCCTAGTGTGAATAAAAAGATAAATCCTAATACTCAGTATATACTAGCAGTAAGTTTAGATTTACTTCCATAAATCGTTATTATTCAGCTAAAGACTTTAATCCCGGTTGGTACAGCAATTACTATTGTTGCTGCTGTAAAATATGCTCGAGTATCTACATCTATACCTACTGTAAACATATGGTGTGCCCACACAATAAAACCTAAAACACCAATACTTAACATAGCATAAATTATTCCTAAGGTACCAAATGCTGGTTTATTAGTAAAGTTAGATAAGATATGTCTGATGATTCCAAATCCAGGCAAAATTAAAATATACACTTCTGGATGACCAAAAAATCAAAATAGATGTTGATATAGAATAGGGTCTCCACCTCCTCTTGGATCAAAGAACCTAGTATTAAAATTTCGATCAGTTAATAGTATAGTAATAGCCCCTGCTAAAACAGGCAATGACAATAATAATAAAAATGCAGTAATTAACACCGATCAAACAAATAAGCTTATGCGTTCCAGTGTAATACCAGGTGAACGTATATTAAAAATGGTAGTAATAAAATTAATAGCACCTAGAATAGATGATAACCCAGCTAAGTGTAATGAGAAAATAGCAAGATCTACTGATGAACCAGAGTGAGCTACAGGTCCTGATAGAGGGGGGTAAACAGTTCACCCAGTTCCAACTCCACCCTCTACTATAGACCTACATAATAATAAGATAAATGAAGGAGGTAAAAGTCAAAATCTTATATTATTTATTCGAGGAAATCTTATATCGGGAGCACCAATTAATATAGGTACTATTCAATTCCCAAACCCTCCAATTATTATCGGTATAACTATAAAAAAAATCATTACAAAAGCATGTGCTGTAACAATTACATTATAAAAATGTTCATCCAATAGTACAAGAGATGTTCCTAATTCCAAACGAATTAACAAGCTTAAACCTGTACCGACCAATCCACACCAGATCCCAAAAATTAAATATAATGTTCCAATATCTTTATGATTAGTAGAATATAATCAACGCAAAGCAAAATAGATTTATTTTTAACAAAAGTAATAGAGGAGCTAAGTGTATTCCTATAACTAATATTTGATTATTAGTTAACTGATTTCCTCCAATAATAAACTCACTACCTTTACCATGATTAACCGCAGTATATAAAAATATATTATAACAGGCTGATAAAAAAATACACAGTCCTATTGTTACTATAAAATATACTCCTAAATTTGATAGCATTGGAACAATTAGTATCTCACCAATTAAATTTAATGTTGGCGGTGCTGCTATGTTAATACAAGTAAAGATAAATCATAGTAATGATAAAATCGGAAATATTGTTAAATACCCTTTTATGTATATTATACTTCGACTTGAAATTTTTTCATATCTATAATAAGCTAAACAAAACAAGGCAGATGAGCTAAAAGCATGGGCAAATATGGTTACAGTAGCCGCAAAGACACTTGAAGTGTTGTTATATAATGCCCCTAAGACCACCACCCTCATATGCCCTACTGACGAATAAGCTACTATGGCCTTTACATCAACTTGACGTAAACATATCAATCTAGATAAAACAGCACCCCAAATACTTAAAGAATAGATGAATACTCTTACAAGATTTATTCTTCTAATCGTAAATGTATTTCCCATTTTAACCAATCCATATCCTCCTAATTTTAACAATACACCAGCTAAGATTATTGAACCAGCTAAAGGAGCTTCTACGTGTGCTTTAGGAAGCCACAAATGAGTGCTATAAATTGGTAGTTTCACTAAAAATGCAGTTAAAACAAAAATGACTATATATCAATCCAAAGGGGTTTTGTTTAACATTTCTAAAATTTGAAAATCACAAGTATTATGTAAATTAAAAAAATACATAATTATGACCAACAATGGCAGAGAAGCAAAAACTGTGTATAATATTATATAGGTACCGGCCTGCAATCGCTCAGGTTGATACCCTCAGCCGATGATTAGGGCTAATGTAGGAATTAAAGAGGCCTCAAAAAATATATAAAAATAAAATATATTCTTAGTACTAAACGTCACAACTAGGAAGATTGCTAATATGATCAGTGTAGTGTTGTATTTAACAGATGATAGATTTTTAGAGCTAAGAAAAACCAATAAAAAAAGATAAACAGTTAAAAAAATCAATATATTTCTCAGAGCTCTTGAGTTTCATCCAATGTTCACGCTAAAAGTAAAAAACTGATTAATATTAATTAATCTTATTAAACTGGCCATAGAAAGAGAAATTATAACAAAAACTCAGTTATTACATAATAAAATACTACCAATTAGAACAAAAAAAATTGATATTATCATATCTAAGAAAGACGGAAGTAAAATTTCCTCCCCTATTAAAGTTAGCAGCTTCAATATTATCTTTCCTTATAACTTTTGTTAAGTGAACGATTTTGAAAATCGATCCAGAGATAAATCAAGAGTATCTCAACAAAAAATAATAACTAGTCATGTGTTCATTTGCATAATTCTGTCAACCGCTTTATTTCTAATATATATATTTCTAGCAAAACTCATATCAAGTAATCAAAATCTAAGAAAACTAACATCGTTTGAGTGTGGATACGACTCAATAAGCAAAATACGATCGCCATTTTCGACGAAATTTTTTGCGCTAATCGTTCTATTTGTTGTATTTGATATCGAACTCGCTCTGTTTTTTCCTCTAGCCTATTCGCTTCAAATCTATGCGGACCTTAAGAGTATTATGATTCTGATAGTAATCCTGTTGATTCTTATTGCTGGGGTATTTCTTGAATGACATAATGGTGCGTTGGATTGAAAATTATAAAGATTAAATGTAGCTTAAATAAAAGCACTTAACTGTTAATTAAGAAGATACAATTATGTAGTCATTTAAACATCCCTCAACTCAGCCCCACTTATGGAATTCTAATTTTCCTATTTGTAAACTCGACTTTGTTCTTTATTATTATTATAAATACATATAATCGAAATAAAAAAATAACGAAATAACTTAGTAATACGAATATTGCTAGATCTAAATTCTCGCTATTGTACTTTAAGATGGCAGACTAAAATGCATAGACTTTAAGCGTCTAAGATGGGGTTAAGTCCCTCTTAAAACAACCTATAGATGATAATATATTTTTAGTATCACAAACTAATGGTTTATTTTAACCTACTACAGGAGCTTTTAAAAAAGATTTTTTACTTGGAAGGTAAGTGTAATGTTTATACTACTAAAAACAAATATATTATTTCTCCAAGGCATTTTTTCACAGAATTGAACTAATAGGCATTAAAAATAATAGAAAAAAGTACATAAAAGTTATTGGGACAGCTAAGGTACTATAAGGGGCTTCAATAGGACAAGACCCTAACCAGGTCAATAATATAAAATTACCACAAAACAACCAAAACAGTACTTGATATATTAAGTTAAACGATGTAGAAATTATTTTTTCAAATTTAATTATAGGTAGAACATACAACACTATAATTCTTGCAGCCAAAGCGATAACCCCACCCAATTTAGAAGGAATGGATCGTAAAATCGCATAAGCAAATAAAAAATATCATTCTGGTATAATATGTACTGGCGTAACTATCGAATTAGCTAACTGATAATTTTCGGGGTCTCCTAAATAATTTGGGAAGTATAATGATACGAAAATTAATATTATTAATACAGTAATAAACCCTACACTATCTTTTCACGTAAAATAAGGATGAAAGGGTACTTTTCTGAGATGGTTAACACAACCTAATGGGTTAGTGCTGCCTATTTCATGAAGAAAAACTAAGTGTAATATGGCCAGAATTATGATAATAAATGGTAAAATGAAATGTAATGAATAAAATCGATTTAGTGTAGCCTGACCAATACTAAAACCTCCTCATACTCATTCAACAACTATACCACCAACATAAGGGATAGCTGATAAAAAGTTAGTAATTACAGTAGCACCTCAAAAAGACATTTGACCTCAAGGAAGAACATACCCTAAAAATGCTGTTGCTATGCTCAATAAAAAAATTCTAGTCCCTACCATTCAAGATTTAGGTTGTGTAATATAACTTTGGTAATACAAACCTCGAGCAATATGAAGATATATAAAAACAAAAAAGAAAGAGGCTCCATTAGCATGGAGACTACGGACCAACCAACCTATTGGAACATCACGAATAATATGAATAACAGATTCAAATGATCTGGCAATATTAGCTGTATAGTGTATAGATAAAAAAAATCCAGTTAAAATTTGCAAAAATAACATTAGACCTATAATTGAGCCTATGTTTCATCAGATAGAGATACTCATAGGTCTAGGCAAGTATGTAATTTCCTTAATGACAGTACTTTTTAATTTTATGTGGAAATAGAACATTTCACAATATTCACTTATTAGATGCAAACTAATTCTTCTTTATCCTTAAAGTATATTTCCAACTGATGTGACCACCATCTACTGATTCTAAATCAGTTGCATTTATCTGCCAAATTAAAATTATTAATAATATTTATTCCGGTCCTTTCGTACTAAAAATAAATCAACAAAAGATAGAAACTGACCTGGCTTACGCCGGTCTGAACTCAGATCATGTAGGGGTTTATTGTTCGAACAGAACAAGCTTTTATCACGGTTAGTGTACAAGTCCCTAGTCCAACATCGAGGTCACAAACTAATATTTATCATTATGCTGTTATCCCTCAGGTAGTTTAGTCATTCATAATAAATTCGTCAGATCTAATACCACTTTTAGTGTCAATAGAAAGGTTATATTGCTTTCTTGTCGCCCCAACAAAAAAGTGTATTGTATAATTACTTTAAGAGTAGTATCAAATTAAAGTCTTAAACAATCTTTATTTCAAAAACTCTAAGGGTCTTCTCGTCTTTTTTCTATATATTGGTATTTTCACCAGTTCATTAAATTAAAATAATATTTTTTATTATAGCTACTATTCATTACTTCATTCATACTAGACTACAATTAATAGCCAATTGATTATGCTACCTTAGCACAGTCAAGGTACTGCGGCCGTTTATATAAACACCGGGCAGAAGATATCGACAATAAAAATTTATTTCATCTGCCGACTATGTTTTTGATAAACAGTTGAATAGTTGATTTGCCGAGTTCAATAAAAAATATTTAAAAATTTTACTAATTTTTACATTATTAATATTACGAAATTCTCACTATTTATCCAATAATAATATCAAGTAACATAAGATCAAATTTTGGCGGGTAATTTTGCAGAATTAAATTTATTACTATATATATACTTATGTTGATAAATGAACAAATACAGTGTTAGCTGTCATCAGTGATAAATGCTATAAGCATTAGTAAAATAACAAGTTTTACTTATACTTTTAACATTAGAATATATAATTTTCTGAATATATAAAATTCTAAACAATTTTATACTGTTTAAAGTACTAAATACTTTTCCCCGCTATCCAGTTATCACAAAATTTGAAAGGTTTTTCACCCCTAATAAAAATTTATAGATATTAATTTTGATGCCACAAAATATTTTTTGTACCAAGATATAATAATTCTGAAACCGATTTACTTATTAGATCATAAAATTTGATTCGAGTAGATTAATATTTAAATTACTTTTTAGTAAAACACTTATGCAAAAGGTAGACAAACAGAAACAGAATTGTTTTGTTAACATAATGTATTTTCCATTACTGGATTACAATTACTAATGACTTATTTTATAATGTACCACATTAACATAAAAATACCAGGTAAATTAAGTATCTGGACCTGTTTATTGTAAATAAACCGTACTAAGTTAGTACTTTATTTTCTCAGTCATTCATCGAAAAGATTTTATAGGGATGATCAATCTCTATTATAAAGGGGAAGTCACTATAAAAATGGTATTCCAATCTTTTAATTAAAAGTTAATTGCTTTAATTTTAAGCTACCAAAAAGGAAACTATTTTATTATCCGATATGACAGTTACTTTAAAATTCGAATCAATACCAACGAGTAACTGCTTTTCATATAAAAATATAATCTCATTACTCTTATAAACACTAGACATACAATGACGGCTCATATCGAGTATTCAACTAATATCGAGAATACTAAGACTTTCGGGTAAAACAACAGAAATGGTGGAAGACCAGAAAACGAAATCATTATTATGCTAGATAGATAATTATCATTCCCTCATATTAGTAAAAATATAGTTAGTGTTCCAAGATAAGCCAAAAAATAAGGAATAAATGTATTTATCAAAATAGTAATAATTATCCACCCACTATGGGAGATTCTTGACCTTCCCAACACACCCCGAACTGTTGATTGAATAATACCTAGTAACCCTCCAGCTACAACGGATATCACACCAACTAAGATTAATCATGGTTGTTTTGTGTTATCTATCAGCGTAACAATTAGAAATAGTGGTGCCACTTTTATAATAGATAAAACAAAAATAAGAGGTAGTTTTTTCAGTCCTGAAACCACTTGAATTACTCAAAAATGCCCCGGAAACAATCCTAACTTAAATATTAATCCAATCAAGAAAACCAGTATGAATACACTGGGCCCAGTGGTTAGTTCTCATACTATATACCCTCCTAACATAATCCACATTCTTCTAATGCTTTGGATAATAAAGTATTTTATAGTAACTTCACATGATAATGACAAATATTTCCTATAGTTTACTATGAGTGGCATAAGAGTCAAAAGACTTAATTCTATTATTAACCACACAAATAACCACCTAGTAGATATAATCGAAAGTATCTGCCCCAGAAAAGCTATAAAGTAAAACAATGATTGATACATGAACATATATGCTTCTGATAAACACCGAAAATGTAATACTTAACTTTCATATTAATCAACATCAATGATTTCCGTTCTACCGGCGGATGTTTATATAATTTTTGTATGTTAAATATATCTAGATAATAGTATATTATTATTCGTCAGCCATTTCATTTAGTAGAATTTAGCCCTTGACCTTTGCTTGTGTCTTTTAGAACACTTAGTATACCTATTGGTATAATTAATATAATTCGATCGAATGATATTTCACTTCTACTTTTAGGCTTAACTACTACCGCTTTAATTTCTTTCTTATGATGACGTGATGTCATTCGTGAATCTACTATACAAGGCCATCATACAACATTTGTTGTTAAAGGCCTTAAAATCGGTGTAGGACTCTTCATTATTAGGGAGATTTGTTTTTTTTTTCGCTTTTTTCTGAGCTTATTTTCATAGCAGGTTGGCACCTTCTGTTGAAATTGGGTCTCATTGGCCCCCTACAGGAATTTACCCTCTTCAAGCATTCCAAGTCCCACTTTTAAACACTTGTGTATTGTTATTATCTGGTGTATCAATCACCTGAGCTCATCATGCCATTGAGGAAAAACAATTGGCGAGAGCACGGGATGGATTAGGAATTACCTGTCTTCTGGGCTTGTACTTTTTATTTTTACAATATGGTGAGTACCAAGAAACTTCTTTCACGATAAGAGATAGCGTTTATGGGTCATGTTTTTTTATAGCGACTGGATTCCATGGACTTCACGTAGCAGTGGGGACTACATTCCTTATTGTGTGTTTCTTTCGGTTAATTAATTACCACTTTAGATCAAATCACCACGTTGGATTCTTAGCTGCCGCATGATATTGGCATTTTGTTGATGTGGTTTGATTATTCTTGTATATCAGAATCTATTGATGGGGGTCATAATGATAAAGATAGCTTAAAAGTGATGTAAAAGCATTGATTTTGTAAGTCAAAGAATGTAAGGGTTTACTCTTTATGAATTAATATTTAAGATAAGCTAATCTCGAAGCTATTGGGCCCATAACCCAAAAATGATACATAGTCTCTTAAAACCTCCTCATTTTATTCTAGTGAAGATATTAAAATGAAATAGCAATTTGACATGGAATTTATTGAGAATCCAGCAAAAAACGTTAACTAAATCTAGTAATAGAATTTTAGTGCAATTTCAACGTATTGTAACAAATAAGGTGCCAGCAGTTGCGGTCATACCTTAAACAAATTTAATATCGTTAGAGTGGGACACAAATGTAGGACTTTAAAAAATTAAAAAGATAGTAAAATGTGTTTTAATTAGTATTAACTAACAATGTCTGAATTTGTTAATCTAAAATACCCGAAACTTTATAAAATTTAGTAAACTAGGATTAGATACCCTACTATAAAAAGCAAAAATTAAAACTCTAAGCACTAAAACCGAATTATGGTTAAAACTTAAAGATTATGGCGGCAGTCTAAATTATTCAGGGGAACTTACCAGATAATAGATAACCCCCAAGCAATTCTACTTAACTTAATAGTTTATATATTGCCGTTTAGGACTTACTTAAAGTATGCCCAATCATTTGTTAAACAAATTTAATACAGGTCATAGTGTAGCAAATAGTTAAGCCGTTGAGGTGAGTTACAATATTATTTTTTTTCAGGTGTGATCTTAAAGAGATCACAAATAGTTGGACTTGAAAGTAAAGATACTTTATACTATAATGATTAAATCTTGAATACTATATTAGATTGTGCACAAATCGCCCGTCACTCTCGTAATTTACAACAAAACAAACGAGATAAGTCGTAACACAGTAGGTGTAAATGAATTTGTACCTGTTTAAGTAGTGAGAAGAAACACACTATCTTTTCGAGATAGAGATGTATTGTATTTTACAATACCTTAAATAAGATGTCAGGAAAGCGAATAATTGCGCCAAGTTTCGGCCTTGGACCTCGGGATTTCTATCCCGTTTTGATAAATCTACACTGACCTATTTTCTTCTCTAGATGGGTGTATTAGATTTTATATCTGAATAACACCTTTGCTGGTGTGTATTTTCTTATCTACTAAATCACATTTATATAGTATGAATTCTGCTTTATCATTGTATTCTAATAATGTCATCAAAACAAAAAGTGGATTACCGGGGGCACTTATTTTTTTCATTGCTTTCATTAATTTGTTAGGATTAACTCCATTTACCTATGGTTTAAGTAGGTCACTTTGGTTCTCATCCGGGTTAGCCCTTTCCTTATGAGGATACCTTATTCTAAGTGGAATTAGTTTAAACCCTAAAAAATTCTTTGCTCATTTTTTACCGAGAGGTACTCCGACAATTCTTACTCCATTTTTAATTCTAATTGAGACGATCAGTGTATTAATCCGCCCATTAACTTTAACAGTTCGACTAATTGCAAATATTAGTGCTGGACACATTGTACTAGCTCTTGTTGCTAATTGCTTAAGTTCATGTAGCACTAGCTTCTCCAGAAGGATCTTGTTGATTCTTTCCATTGCATACAATTTTTTTGAAGTATTTGTTTGCCTTATTCAGGCTTATATTTTCACTCTATTAATTACTTTATATTCAAATGAACATCCCTAATCTTTTTTCTAGGTGTAAAACATTTAATTGCACAAAAAGATTTGAGCTTTTAGGAGGATACTAATTTCCAGAAAAAACAGGGTATTATATGTTTAAGATCGCAAAAAAGGAAGAAAGTTACTAGTCAATACAAAATCCTACAGATTATTTCAGACTTTGAAGGTCTACGGATTATAGATTATCCTATTTATATTGGGAAGGTTCTTCTTATTGCCATTTACAATGACAGGCACTACATATCTGCCACCAAAAACTTCAGATAATAGAATAGGAGATAAAAATAAATCAGAGGCATTATTATACTGGAATCCGGGCAGCACAATCCTTAAGAGGATGCCTTATTAGCCTCTTTCGGCTTCGATTTTTACCTTTTAGAATTATTTATTGTGGAGGAAATCAGTATTTTAAATTCGGGCTAATTTTTTTACCTTTTAGAATTATTTATTGTGGAGGAAATCAGTCGTTTAAATTCGGGCTAAATGTCCGAATAGAATTTCCTAGCTATGGTTTAAGGAGATCTCATTGATTCTAACCCGGTCAGCACAACCCTTAAGAGGTGCCATATTAAGCTACATTCAGGCTTCGATTTTTACTTTTTAGAATTATTTATTGTGGAGGAAATCAGTATTTTAATTCAGGCGTAGATTTTTATTCTATCTTCCTCTAAATACCATTACTCAAAAAACGGCCTATGTATACAGTGTATTATTATTAGTTGATCCCTATCATCCCTTTCACTAACATTCACTCTATAAAATATTGGGAATGAGGTATACAGTGTATTATTATTTGTTGATCCCTATCATCCCTTTCACTAACATTCACTCTATAAAATGTTGGAGTGGAGTGTACATCATCAGAAAGGAAAAGAAAAAGAAAGATAGCAGGCATAATCCCTAGGCTTAAAACATTTTATTACACAACTAGATATCCTCGGGGATTCCCTTTCTCCTTAAGAAAAAACAGGAGGTTACCATCTTTAAGTTTGCAACTTAATGTTTTATTTAAACCATGTTTCTAATCTATAGCGATATTATTATTTACGATATCGTTACCATTAACCCGTAATGTAGTAATTATTAAGCTCAAGCCCAGTGCTGCCTCGGATGTTACTAATGTTAATACAATTAAAAAATCTCTTAGCCTAAACACAAGACCACTGAAATAAAAAGTAATAAACAGAATTTCTAGACTTAGAAGTTCTAAAATAACAATAAAGTATATGTAAGAGGTATACTTTGTTAGGACAAATACAGAAGTGATAAAAATAAGAATGTAGAAATAAGTTACGATTCAATATAAAATCCTACTGATTATTTCAGACTTTGAAGGTCTACGGATTATCATATCCTATTATATTTGGGATAACTCTTCTTGCCAATTACACTGACATGCATATTTAATCTTACCTCAAATCCTATTTTACCAGTACTTGGATAGGTATGAAAGAATGGTTAGCTCCACAGATTTCGCTACACTGCCCATAATATTTTCCTGGATAGTTTCAATAAAGATTCATTCTATTTAGTCGGCCTGGAACTGCATCTATTTTGACTCCGATACTTGGTAAGGCTCAAGCGTGCAACACATCAGCTCTGGTTAATAGGTTCGAATAATTAAAAGAAGTATTAAGACATAAAGGAATATCTACTTCTAAAAGTCGGAAGTCTGAATTTGAAGACATATATCTGTCAAAGCCTACATGATCCACTTCATACCTTCAATATCATTGATGTCCGATTCTTTTAAAACTTATCTCAGTTTTCCTATTATCATCTAGGAGGTATAACAATTGTATACTTGGGAAAGCTAACCAGAGTAATAGTAGTGCTGGAATTACCGTTCAGACGGTTTCTAATAGTTGAGCCTCTACGATAGTCCGTGTAGTTAATTTAGTAGTAAGTAATCTCACACCTATGATACAAACGAAGGTAAAAATTCCAATAAGTAATGTTAAAGCGTGGTCATGAAATAAAATTATCTCCTCCTGAATAGGTGATGCTGGATCTATTAAATTTATTTGTCCTCAAAATCTCAATCTAACAAAGGTTAATCGACCATCAAAGCATCTTCAATGCATTGCTTTTATTTAAGCTATATGTTAATTGTTCACACGTTTTTACTAATAATTATATTATCTATAACTTGACAAGTTATTATTTTGATTAATTAAACTAAGTAAAATGACTAAATGATAGGACAAATTATGATAATAATACACATAGATACTGGTAGATAGCACTTTCAACACAAGCTTATCAATAGGTCATAACGCAGTCGAGGATAGGCTCCTCGTGAAAATAGAAATAGTAAAGAAATGGCAGTAAACTGAAACCTCGCTAGAAATGATACTCTTTGGGTGTTGGGAAAGATAACTCTCCTTGCAAGAACAGATATGAATAAAATGTTCGAATATTCTGCCAAGAATAAAAGAACAAATCTGCCTCCACCATATTCAATATTAAATCCAGACACTAATTCTGACTCACCCTCTGCAAAATCAAAAGGTGCTCGATTAGTTTCAGCTATTATACTACTCATAAAAATTATCAATAATGGGAAGAACAGGAATAAGTACCCAAAACCAGAATTAATCTCTTCAATCCTTAGTCTAGACGATAAAAAAGCTACAAAGAACACAATAAAAACAAAACTCACTTCATAAGAGATAGTTTGTGCCATTGCCCGCATGGCTCCCAAAAAAGCGTATTTTCTATTGGAAGCCCATCCGGACATTATAATACCAAATACATTAAATGAGGATAATACTAAGAAAATAATCATGGACAAGTTTAATGTTCTTGTGCCGCTGGGTATAGGATACATTATTCAAAACATCATTGCCAAACTAAAAGCCACTATAGGTCTTACCCAGTACATTATGTAGTTAGCTTTATATGGTGACAACAGTTCTTTAGTAAAAAGCTTCACTGCATCAGAAATAGGTTGCAATAGTCCTATCACGCCAATTATTTTAGGTCCTTTTCGAATCTGAATGTATCTTAATACTTTTCGTTCAAGTAGCGTATAAAAAGCTACTCCTAATAAAATACATAAGCATGTTAATAAATTAGATAATATTAAGAGGGTCATTTAAAATATTTTATAATTATATGCGATCGTTTAGAAATAATTAAATTAATTTTTCTCCCTATATCTAACCAACCATTATCTAAATAGCCTAGATTTTTATGTAATATGAATAAGATATAAGGAGATTTATAATACAGTGGGCTTAAATAAAACAAGCTACTTAACAGCATAGTGTTTTTTTTTCCCGCTTTAAATACATATATAAATAAACATAAAGATAACAGTGCTGACAGATTAATATATAGTCATCCATATACTGGTAACACACTAGGTTCTAAATCCGAAAAATCAAATGATCTGTAAAATTTTCCTAAAAGAACAGAACATAAACCAAGTATGATCATAGGTAAATAAATCTTTTTTGATGTGTTTACAGAACCGATGATTAAACCGCTCTTACTTCAACTAATACAGTATAGCATACGTAGAGTATAAATAAAGGTAAAAACTGTTGCGATAGCCATTAACCATAAGGATAACATATTAATGTTAGTAGTAAATATTTTCTCTATAACAGAATGTTTAGAATAATATGCACTTAAAAATGGAATGCCCAATAATGAAAGTCCACTTACATTAATAATTACCCCCGTCAGTGGACTTAATATCCCTACACCGCCAAGAAGGCGTAAATCTTGACACCCAAAAGAAATTATCAAAATATTTCCAGCCGCCATGAAGAGTATAGCCTTAAATAAAGCATGTATATATAAGTGAAACAAAGCCAATAACGGGTATCCCATTCCAACAGTAAACATTATCACACCTAGTTGACTCAATGTTGATAAGGCAATGATTTTTTTAAGATCATTTTCAAATACAGCAGCTGATCTTCCTAAGATAGATGTTACTGCTCCTAAGAATACTAAAATGGAACCTGTGAACTCTCTAAAGTCAGAAATAATTATGATACGAATTATCAAATAAATACCAGCGGTTACTAGTGTCCTGGAGTGAACTAGAGCTCTAACAGGAGTTGGTGCTGCTATCGCAGCGGGAAGTCACGATCTAAATGGATATTGAGCTCTCTTTGTAAGTCTAGCGAGTAATAATAAAAACAAACAGGTTGTACTTATTACTGATAATATATATGTACCATTTTGTAAAAATCTGAATACACTCAGTATAATTAATACATCCCCAACCCGATTAGTAAGTAGTGTTTTAAACCCAGCCTGTTTTGATTCAAAAGACCTGTAATAAATAATAAGTGCAAACGACGTGATTCCTAACCCATCTCACCCTATTAATATGGTTAAGAAAGATGAGGACACAATTAATAAACATATTGAAATTACAAAGGTAAGAAGAATAATAAAAAATCGAGCTTGAAATACATCTTCTTTTATATAGACATCTCCGAATATAAAAACACACCCCGAAATTAGAAATACTAATGATAAAAAACTTATGGATACTCAATCTAAAACATATGCAAGTTCAAACTGAGTAGTACAGAACGTAGCTAGATTAATTTGTAAAAAGACTGTTGTGTTAAAGTAATTTGTTAGAAGAAATAATATAAAAAAAACTAAGCTCCTACAAAACAATAAAATAGAAAATTTATTATTAGATTTAATTATATACATTCAAGTTCTTTGTAGATTTTAATATATTATAACTAGCGATTATTACAATGAACAAATATATAATAAGTATTACTAATAGATATAGAGGAAAATAAATATTTATCGTCATTAAACTTCCAATTGATGTATTTCAGTCTGCTGATAACATAATGATACAAATAAAGGTACAGATTCATTTTATATTCCATATAACGAGCAAATTAGATGTTATTATAACTGTATACATTATCAATACCATAATACCACCGACAAAAACGATTATTATCAATAAAAATGCTAAATTCACCCTTTCCAAGACGGATAGACCACATAAAACACAAGTGTAAAAAATAATGATTAATAAATTTATATGGTTTTTATGATTTAGAAGCAAGTATAAATTACCTATTATAATAAAGGATATGAATATTTTCAAAAATAGTGTTCACTACTCTTTAACTTCCAAAGTTAATATTAACCATAACTGTTTTTGAACATATTTAATTAAGATACACGTTTATAAAGGAGAAACACTAGTCTCTAGATTACTATGAAAATCTGGAGGAAGTGCGTAATCTCATTCTCGAGATCTATGTGAACTTTCAGAAAATAAGTAACTCCGCTGTGACGTTAGAGCTTCTCATACTAAGAAAATGAACATTAATACTGCAATAATTCTGAATAGGGATCCAAATGATGAGATTTGATTTCACTTATAATATGTATCAGGATAATCAACATACCGTCGTGGTATTCCAGCCAAGCCTAAAAAATGCTGTGGAAAAAATGTTATATTCACAGCAAAGAACATAATAAAGAAATGAATTTTGGATCAAGATTCATGTATAGTTAATCCAGTAATTACTGGAAATCAGTAAACAAACCCAGCAAATAAAGCGAAGACTGCTCCTATTGATAATACATAGTGAAAATGAGCTACCACATAATATGTATCATGTAATATAATATCTAGAGATGAATTTGAAAGTACAATTCCGGTCAAACCTCCTAGTGTGAATAAAAAGATAAATCCTAATACTCAGTATATACTAGCAGTAAGTTTAGATTTACTTCCATAAATCGTTATTATTCAGCTAAAGACTTTAATCCCGGTTGGTACAGCAATTACTATTGTTGCTGCTGTAAAATATGCTCGAGTATCTACATCTATACCTACTGTAAACATATGGTGTGCCCACACAATAAAACCTAAAACACCAATACTTAACATAGCATAAATTATTCCTAAGGTACCAAATGCTGGTTTATTAGTAAAGTTAGATAAGATATGTCTGATGATTCCAAATCCAGGCAAAATTAAAATATACACTTCTGGATGACCAAAAAATCAAAATAGATGTTGATATAGAATAGGGTCTCCACCTCCTCTTGGATCAAAGAACCTAGTATTAAAATTTCGATCAGTTAATAGTATAGTAATAGCCCCTGCTAAAACAGGCAATGACAATAATAATAAAAATGCAGTAATTAACACCGATCAAACAAATAAGCTTATGCGTTCCAGTGTAATACCAGGTGAACGTATATTAAAAATGGTAGTAATAAAATTAATAGCACCTAGAATAGATGATAACCCAGCTAAGTGTAATGAGAAAATAGCAAGATCTACTGATGAACCAGAGTGAGCTACAGGTCCTGATAGAGGGGGGTAAACAGTTCACCCAGTTCCAACTCCACCCTCTACTATAGACCTACATAATAATAAGATAAATGAAGGAGGTAAAAGTCAAAATCTTATATTATTTATTCGAGGAAATCTTATATCGGGAGCACCAATTAATATAGGTACTATTCAATTCCCAAACCCTCCAATTATTATCGGTATAACTATAAAAAAAATCATTACAAAAGCATGTGCTGTAACAATTACATTATAAAAATGTTCATCCAATAGTACAAGAGATGTTCCTAATTCCAAACGAATTAACAAGCTTAAACCTGTACCGACCAATCCACACCAGATCCCAAAAATTAAATATAATGTTCCAATATCTTTATGATTAGTAGAATATAATCAACGCAAAGCAAAATAGATTTATTTTTAACAAAAGTAATAGAGGAGCTAAGTGTATTCCTATAACTAATATTTGATTATTAGTTAACTGATTTCCTCCAATAATAAACTCACTACCTTTACCATGATTAACCGCAGTATATAAAAATATATTATAACAGGCTGATAAAAAAATACACAGTCCTATTGTTACTATAAAATATACTCCTAAATTTGATAGCATTGGAACAATTAGTATCTCACCAATTAAATTTAATGTTGGCGGTGCTGCTATGTTAATACAAGTAAAGATAAATCATAGTAATGATAAAATCGGAAATATTGTTAAATACCCTTTTATGTATATTATACTTCGACTTGAAATTTTTTCATATCTATAATAAGCTAAACAAAACAAGGCAGATGAGCTAAAAGCATGGGCAAATATGGTTACAGTAGCCGCAAAGACACTTGAAGTGTTGTTATATAATGCCCCTAAGACCACCACCCTCATATGCCCTACTGACGAATAAGCTACTATGGCCTTTACATCAACTTGACGTAAACATATCAATCTAGATAAAACAGCACCCCAAATACTTAAAGAATAGATGAATACTCTTACAAGATTTATTCTTCTAATCGTAAATGTATTTCCCATTTTAACCAATCCATATCCTCCTAATTTTAACAATACACCAGCTAAGATTATTGAACCAGCTAAAGGAGCTTCTACGTGTGCTTTAGGAAGCCACAAATGAGTGCTATAAATTGGTAGTTTCACTAAAAATGCAGTTAAAACAAAAATGACTATATATCAATCCAAAGGGGTTTTGTTTAACATTTCTAAAATTTGAAAATCACAAGTATTATGTAAATTAAAAAAATACATAATTATGACCAACAATGGCAGAGAAGCAAAAACTGTGTATAATATTATATAGGTACCGGCCTGCAATCGCTCAGGTTGATACCCTCAGCCGATGATTAGGGCTAATGTAGGAATTAAAGAGGCCTCAAAAAATATATAAAAATAAAATATATTCTTAGTACTAAACGTCACAACTAGGAAGATTGCTAATATGATCAGTGTAGTGTTGTATTTAACAGATGATAGATTTTTAGAGCTAAGAAAAACCAATAAAAAAAGATAAACAGTTAAAAAAATCAATATATTTCTCAGAGCTCTTGAGTTTCATCCAATGTTCACGCTAAAAGTAAAAAACTGATTAATATTAATTAATCTTATTAAACTGGCCATAGAAAGAGAAATTATAACAAAAACTCAGTTATTACATAATAAAATACTACCAATTAGAACAAAAAAAATTGATATTATCATATCTAAGAAAGACGGAAGTAAAATTTCCTCCCCTATTAAAGTTAGCAGCTTCAATATTATCTTTCCTTATAACTTTTGTTAAGTGAACGATTTTGAAAATCGATCCAGAGATAAATCAAGAGTATCTCAACAAAAAATAATAACTAGTCATGTGTTCATTTGCATAATTCTGTCAACCGCTTTATTTCTAATATATATATTTCTAGCAAAACTCATATCAAGTAATCAAAATCTAAGAAAACTAACATCGTTTGAGTGTGGATACGACTCAATAAGCAAAATACGATCGCCATTTTCGACGAAATTTTTTGCGCTAATCGTTCTATTTGTTGTATTTGATATCGAACTCGCTCTGTTTTTTCCTCTAGCCTATTCGCTTCAAATCTATGCGGACCTTAAGAGTATTATGATTCTGATAGTAATCCTGTTGATTCTTATTGCTGGGGTATTTCTTGAATGACATAATGGTGCGTTGGATTGAAAATTATAAAGATTAAATGTAGCTTAAATAAAAGCACTTAACTGTTAATTAAGAAGATACAATTATGTAGTCATTTAAACATCCCTCAACTCAGCCCCACTTATGGAATTCTAATTTTCCTATTTGTAAACTCGACTTTGTTCTTTATTATTATTATAAATACATATAATCGAAATAAAAAAATAACGAAATAACTTAGTAATACGAATATTGCTAGATCTAAATTCTCGCTATTGTACTTTAAGATGGCAGACTAAAATGCATAGACTTTAAGCGTCTAAGATGGGGTTAAGTCCCTCTTAAAACAACCTATAGATGATAATATATTTTTAGTATCACAAACTAATGGTTTATTTTAACCTACTACAGGAGCTTTTAAAAAAGATTTTTTACTTGGAAGGTAAGTGTAATGTTTATACTACTAAAAACAAATATATTATTTCTCCAAGGCATTTTTTCACAGAATTGAACTAATAGGCATTAAAAATAATAGAAAAAAGTACATAAAAGTTATTGGGACAGCTAAGGTACTATAAGGGGCTTCAATAGGACAAGACCCTAACCAGGTCAATAATATAAAATTACCACAAAACAACCAAAACAGTACTTGATATATTAAGTTAAACGATGTAGAAATTATTTTTTCAAATTTAATTATAGGTAGAACATACAACACTATAATTCTTGCAGCCAAAGCGATAACCCCACCCAATTTAGAAGGAATGGATCGTAAAATCGCATAAGCAAATAAAAAATATCATTCTGGTATAATATGTACTGGCGTAACTATCGAATTAGCTAACTGATAATTTTCGGGGTCTCCTAAATAATTTGGGAAGTATAATGATACGAAAATTAATATTATTAATACAGTAATAAACCCTACACTATCTTTTCACGTAAAATAAGGATGAAAGGGTACTTTTCTGAGATGGTTAACACAACCTAATGGGTTAGTGCTGCCTATTTCATGAAGAAAAACTAAGTGTAATATGGCCAGAATTATGATAATAAATGGTAAAATGAAATGTAATGAATAAAATCGATTTAGTGTAGCCTGACCAATACTAAAACCTCCTCATACTCATTCAACAACTATACCACCAACATAAGGGATAGCTGATAAAAAGTTAGTAATTACAGTAGCACCTCAAAAAGACATTTGACCTCAAGGAAGAACATACCCTAAAAATGCTGTTGCTATGCTCAATAAAAAAATTCTAGTCCCTACCATTCAAGATTTAGGTTGTGTAATATAACTTTGGTAATACAAACCTCGAGCAATATGAAGATATATAAAAACAAAAAAGAAAGAGGCTCCATTAGCATGGAGACTACGGACCAACCAACCTATTGGAACATCACGAATAATATGAATAACAGATTCAAATGATCTGGCAATATTAGCTGTATAGTGTATAGATAAAAAAAATCCAGTTAAAATTTGCAAAAATAACATTAGACCTATAATTGAGCCTATGTTTCATCAGATAGAGATACTCATAGGTCTAGGCAAGTATGTAATTTCCTTAATGACAGTACTTTTTAATTTTATGTGGAAATAGAACATTTCACAATATTCACTTATTAGATGCAAACTAATTCTTCTTTATCCTTAAAG